TGCAGCCCTGTCGATGTGGATGGGAACGTGCTTCCTGTAGTCCACGATCAGCTTCTTGGTCTTACTGATGTTGAGGGAGAGGTTGTAGTCCCGGCACCACACTGCCAGGTCACTGCCCTCCTCCCTGTAGACTGTTTCATCATCGCCGGTGATCAGGCATACCACCATCTTGTCGTCAGCAAACTTGATGATGGTGTTGGAGTCGTGCGTAACCACTCAGTCGTGAGTGAACAGGGAGTACAAGAGGGGAGTAAGCAGACACCCCTGTGGAGCCCCCATGTTGACGGTCAGTGTGGCAGAGGGGATGTTGCCTACCCTCACCACCTGGGGTCGGCACGTCAGGAAGTCCAGGATCCAGTTGCAGAGGGAGAGGTGTTCAGTCCCAGGGTCCTTAGCTTAGTGACAAACTTGGAGGGGACAATGGTATTGAATGCTGAGCTGTAGTCAATGAACAGCATTCTCACATAGGTATTCCTCTTATCTAGGTGCGTGAGTGCAATTGAGATTGCGTCATCTGTGGATCTGTTGGGGCGGTATGCCAATTGAAGTGGGTCTAGGGTGTCTGGGATGATGGAGTTGATGTGTGCCATAACCAGCCTTTCAAAGCACTTCATGATTACAGATGTGAGTGCTACAGGGCGGTAGTCATTGTGGAATGAAGTCTTAGAGTTCTTTGAAACAGGAATGATGGTGGTCAGTTTACAGACTGGGACAAGGAGAGGTTGAAAATGACCGTGAATGTGCTTGCCAGCTGTTCTGCACACTCAAGCGTAGTGGAAGTCTCGACCCATTGTTCACCCGTCTTGGAATACCTGATGGTCAAATGCAGACCCTTCTACCTTCCGAGGGAGTTTTCAGCTGACTGCAGTATATATTCCACCTCAAGACAAGAAAAACAACAAGCTGGCACTTAACAAACTGTACCAGGCTATAAACAAGCAGGAAAACATGCACCCGGAGTCTGCTTTTCTTGTTGCCGGCAAATGTAATTCCATGTCATTAAGATGTGATGCCCAACTTCAATCAACACGGCTCCTTTCAATTGTTTAACTGAGTTGAACTTTAGCGACTGTAACAAAAACCCTGTTCACAAAAAGACATACAGACTGATTATATAGGAGAGTAAACCACTGCCTGTGAGAGTGAATCTCCCCCTAGCCCAGCAGATCCCATCAAATCCATCCTATATAATCATATTTACACACTGCCCTCTGTCAGTCTGTCTGTGAAGACTCCGAGCTTGTGGAGATCAATTCACTTCAGCTCTCTAGGCAGTAGTCTATAAGCGCTCTAGGCAGTAGTCTATAGACTTGCAAGGGAGTAGTCTGTAGACTTGCAAGGCAGTAGTCTATAGGCTCTCTAGGCAGTAGTCTATAGACTTGCTATGCAGTAGTCTAGTCTGTTTGTATGCTGCTGTAGTGAATCCGCCGGCTTTAAATCACTCTGTTATTAAATGTCACTGTAAAGAGCTTGTTTACAGTCTCTGCTTCCCCTCAGTGCTCCCAGACAAACAGACAGTGAGCGAAGTCTCAGCTTCAAGCTTCTGTGTGGGTTGCTGCTGTTTTTCGCCTACAGGTTTGATGCGCCAGAGGCTGACAAGGCCCACAGAGGCCACAGAGATGCTATGACATAGTAGCGTAATCACATTCATTAGTCCCCTAAAATGCTACTATTACAAGTGAACTGGAACAGAGGCGTTGTGTTTTGTTTTAATGCTCATCTTCAATTACGTCGCTATGCTAATACCTGTACATCGTCGGAGTTCTCTTTCAACAGTGGTCTCCTCACAGCGGTTCTATGACGACGCTTGACACCGGTTCTATACTGAACAAAAATATAAATGCAACATGCAACAATTTCAAAGATTTTACTGATTCACAGTTCGTATAAGGAAATCAGTCAATTGAAATAAATTCATTGGGTCCTAATCTATGGATTTCACATGACTGTGAATATAGATATGCATCTGTTGGTCACAGATACCTTAAAAACAGGTAGGGGCATCGATAAGAAAACCAGTCAGTATCTGGTGTGACCACCATTTGCCTCATGCAGCGCGACACATCTCCTTTGCATAGAGTTGAGCAGGCTGTTGATTGTGGCCTGTGGAATGTTGTCCCACTCCTCTTCAATGTCTGTGCAAAGTTGCTGGATATTGGCGGGAAATGGAAGACGCTGTCGTACACGTCGATCCAGAGCATCCCAAACATGCTCAATGGGTGACGTCTGGTGTATGCAGGCCATGGAAAAACTGGGACATTTTCAGCTTCCAGGAATTGTGTACAGATCCTTGCAACATGGGGCCATGCAATATCATGCTGAAACATGAAGTGATGGCGGTGGATGAATGGCAAAACAATGGGCCTCAGGATCTCATCTGTGTATCGCTGCAGAATGCTGTGGTAGCCGTGCTGGTTAAGTGTGCCTGATTCACACAGTCCCCTCTGAACAGTTGATGTTGAGATGTGTCTGTGACTTGAACTCTGTGAAGCATTTATTTGGGCTGCAATTTCTGAGGCTGGTAACTCTAATGAACTTATCCTCTGCAGCAGAGGTAAAACTGGGTCTTCCATTCCTGTGGCGGTCCTCATGAGAGCCCGTTTCATCATAGTGCTTGATGGTTTTTGCGACTGCATTTTCCATATTGACTGACCTTCATGTCTTAAAGTAATGATGGACTGTCGTTTCTCTTTGCTTATTTGAACTGTTCTTGCCATAATATGGACTTGGTATTTTACCAAGTAGGGCTATCTTCTGTATACCACCCCTACCTTGTCACAACACAACTGATTGGCTCAAACGCATTAAGAAGGAAAGAAATTCCACAAATTAACTTTTTAAGAAGGCACACCTGTTAATTGAAATGCCTTCCAGGTGACTACCTCGTGGAGCTGGTTGAGAGAATGCCAAGAGTGTGCAAAGCTGTCATCAAGGCAAAGGGTGGCTATTTGAAGAATCGTAAATATAAAATATATTTTGATTTGATTAAAACTTTTTTTGGTTACTACATGATTCCATATGTGCTATTTCATAGTTTTGATGTCTTCACTATTATTATACAATGTAAAACATCAAGGTATCTCTGTGCATTAAAATTGCCATCGATTTAAAATGTAATTGTGTTTGTTTCCTGCCCATACCATAACCCCAACGCCACCATGGGGCACTCTGTTCACAACGTTGACATCAGCAAACCACTCGCCCACACAACGCCACACACGTGGTCTGCGGTTGTAAGGTCGGTTGGACATACTGCCAAATTCTCTAAAACGATGTTTGGTAGAGAAATGAACATTCAATTCTCTGGCAACAGCTCTGGTGGACATTCCTGCAGTCAGCATGCCAATTGCACGCTCCCTGCACTTGAGACATTTGTGGCATTGTGTTGTGTGACAGAACTGTACATTTTAGAGTGGCTTTTTATTGTCCCCAGCACAAGGTGCACCTGTGTAATGATCATGCTGTTTAATCAGTTTCTTGATATGCCACGCCTGTCCGGTGGATGGATTATCTTGGCAAAGGAAAAATGCTCACTAACAGGGATGTAAGAAACAAGAGAAATAAGCTTTTTTGGTGCATATAGAACATTTCTGGGATCTTTTAATTCAGCTCATGAAACATGGGACCAACACTTTACGTGTTGTGTTTATATTTTTGTTCAGTGTACTTCCATGTACAGTACCATTAATGTTAAAGCAGGTTCGGCTGAAATGCGATCTTTTCTGAGAGGTGGCTTTGTCAGTTTTTTTACCCACAAATTAGGCCACTTATTTGTTGATATGAAGACATAGGTTTGCATTGCCAAGAGACAATGTCAATTCTGTAGGGAGAGAAAGAGAGGATAAAGGGATGTTTGTTTGCCTTCCAGCCATTGGAACATGCTCTGACTGACTGTGAAAGGGCATGGCCATTGTTTGTGCCTAGACGCTGGGGAAGTAGGCTGTCTTAATAACCTCCTGGACTCCCATTCTTTATCGTAGGATACATCCCAAATGGCACCCTATTCCCTATAAAGTGCAATACTTTAGTCAAAAGTACTGCACTATAAAGGGAATAGGGTGTCATTTGGGACACACCCTTAGACATTTCCTCTACACACTATAGCCTGCTTACTGAGTCAGTGTGCAGCGTTATCGAGGGTGTTGGATCTACTGTAGAGCAGCTTTCCATCTAGATATCAAGGTTGATGGGAGGACTGGGATCCCACTGCAGACGAGACAAGCTCCCAGACACATTTATGGTTAGTTTTTACTGTGTTTATTTTTTTTAAGAACGTTCAGCTGCATTTTCTCCTTTAAAACAAGGATGTAGGCGGGCTAGGGTGGTCTAGCAGTCTACACTGCTGCCTCTGGAACACATATATATATATATATATATATATATATACTGGTGCGTTATGGGTTCAAATCCGGCCCACTGCTATTTCAGCACACCCTTTCCTCGATCTCGATCTTATCCAATAAACATAAAAAAATAGGAACTGCCCCACTCCTTAAAAATACTAACACGGATAGTGAAGGCAGATATTTAAGTACACTGAACCCCTAGCACATCAGAGAGAATTAACTGTACAGTACTTCCTGTATCGGCCAACATCGGAAATGTAATAGTAGTTACAGAATGTTAAGGCAGAATGTTAAGCTGTAGAGCAGTGGTCACCAAACTTTTCTTTACCGAGCTCATTTTACATTTACATTTTACATTTTAGTCATTTAGCAGACGCTCTTATCCAGAGCGACTTACAGTTAGTGAGTGCATCCATTTTTTTATATATAAAAAAATTCACACTAACTGCAATAATATTTAATTGAATCCTCACATCCTCCCTCCTTCTCAAAGCACATTGGAGTAGATCTTAGGTTCCTCTCCTCTGATCTTCTCCTCCAATGCATTTTGAGAAGGATGCAAGTAGAGGATGCGAGGAATCAAGGAAATACAATTGACATACACACCAGGAATTGGACTACTGTGAGGTCATCCTAGAGAACGAGGCTGGCCGACTATCTGTCCTGCTGCTGGATGAAGGGTTTGGGGATGGCTTCCATGCCGTCCTGAGGACAGATGAGCACCACGGACGTCCCTCTACAAACCACCAGGCCCAGCTGCCGCGTGTCCTCAGTTAGCTTGAACTGGTCATCAGGATCCCGCAAGTACTCGATGGTGCTATCCATTACCAGGTTCAACAGGGGGTCAAACCCCTTCAGAACTCCACTGGCCTCTCGTCCTCCCTGAAACTTCACACAGATTTGTTTATCAATGTACTTTGACAGGTCAAAGATACTCTCTTTCCTCTTCTCTCCTTCCTTGTTTCTGTCCTGGTTTTTGTCCGCCATTTTTAACCTGTTCCAGCCACGCCTTTTTACTTCGCATTTTCTGAGTCAAAATGCATACCAATATCTATCGCTCAGAATAAAAAAAAATAACATAACTTAAAAAAACATTTAAAACAGTTCTGTAGCAATGAAATTTGTGCAGTAGGCTACAGGCCCAATACATAATCACTGCAAATTTGCTTTGTTGAAATGCCCTGCCAATGCTGTTCTTCTCAGACCAATTATACAGTCATTCAAAACCTTAGGTATATGATCACACTGGTAATAGATAATCATTTGTTGTACTTGTGAGGCATAGCTGAGTGAGCATAAATTTACAGTACCAGTCAAAAGTTTGGACACATCTGCTCATTCAAGGGTTTTTCTTAATTTTTTACTATTTTGTACATTGTAGAATAATAGTGAAGACAGCAAAACTATGAAATAACACATAGCTTCACCTGGAATGCTTTTCCAACAGTCTTGAAGCAGTTCCCACGTGCTGAGCACTTGTTGGCTGCGGTCCAACTCATCCCAAACAATCTCAATTGGGCCAGGTCATCTGATGCAGCACTCCATCACTCTCCTTCTTGGTAAAATTGCCCTTACACAGCCTGGAGGTGTGTTGGGTCATTGTCCTGTTGAAAAGCAAATGATAGTCCCACTAAACCCAAACCAGATGGGATGGCGTATCGCTGCAGAATGCTGTGGTAGCCATGCTGGTTAAGTGTGCCTGAATCACACAGCTGCAATTTCTGAGGCTGGTAACTCTAATGAATTTATCCTCTGCAGCAGAGGAAAATCTGGGTCTTCCATTCCTGTGGCGGTCCTCATGAGAGCCTGTTTCATCATAGTGCTTGATGGTTTTTGCGACTGCACTTGAAGAAACTTTTAAAGTTCTTGACATTTTCCATATTGACTGACCTTCATGTCTTAAAGTAATGATGGACTGTCATTTCTCTTTGCTTATTTGAGCTGTTCTTGCCATAATATGGACTTGGTATTTTACCCAGTAGGGCTATCTTCTGTATACCACCCCTACCTTGTCACAACACAACTGATTGGCTCAAACACATTAAGAAGGAAATAAATTCACCTGTTAAGTGAAATGCCTTCCAGGTGACTACCTCATGAAGCTGGTTGAGAGAATGCCAAGAGTGTGCAAAGCTGTCATCAAGGCAAAGGGTGGCTATTTGAAGAATCTCAAATATAAAATATATTTTGATTTGTTTAACACTTTTTTGGTTACTATATGATTCCATATGTGCTATTTCATAGTTTTGATTTCTTCACTATTATTATACAATGTAAAAAATAGTAAAAATAAAGAAAAACCCTTGAATGAGTAGGTGTGTCCAGACTTTTGACTGGTAGTGTAAATAATTCGCTTTGTTTATTTTACTGGACTGATGGTGCCTGCATCTGATGGTCAGTCTCAGCAGAGGGAGAATATCAGAGGTTCCGCCTCTCACCGTCGGACCATCCCTCCGCTCTCCCCCCTCCGCTATGATTGACCAAAAAGGGGACACCGTCTTCGAGCTGACAGCGAAACTCTAGTCACATCGCATTACTTCTGCCTCATGCACAAATTCATGTTGTTACTCCTGTGACCAGAGAAAGTGAAATATTCCTCCATATTAAACAACCCCCTGCCGCTAATAGACAAGGCAAGTCTATTGATACTTTGGTACTCATTCATTGAAGCTGCGGTGCTGGTTGCAGCACGAGTGGAGAATCACATTTCATGGCTTAGAAAAGTGTTGAATACAAAGTGTTGACTGTGCTGAACTCCCTCATAAAAACAGCAGCTCTTTGCTGTATTCATTGACAGTCTCTCTAGTTGTGCCTACTGTCAGACAGAAGAAAGTAGGAATGCAAGGCTTTATATATATTTTTTTTATAGAAATGTTTATAGAAATGTTTCGCAATTGACTAGGAATGCTTTGAAGACCACTGATATAGAGAATGTGTCTGGGACCCATTGGTATGCGAATCAGTCAATAAAAGCAATGCCCCTCCTGGCTGTTTGAACACACATAGACATTCTCAAATGTTCGATTGCTTGCAACTTCCTAACCTCAGGCACAACACATGCTGGACCACAGAAAGAGTCAATGGCAGCCTGATCAGTCAGTCAATGATCTGACAAGAAATATCATTTTATTTGATTGCCAATGGCTCTCTTTCACATCTATATAAAAGCCTGATCAGATTTCATTGACTCTCAAATAGAGCTTTCCAGGTCATGCCATTAATGTTGTTCATAAACGATTCCCCGCAACCTCTTCTCTCTTATGATTCAATAGTATGTTTATGTTAGAAAGCCACCAGAGAGCTGAGAACCATCATTGCAGTATGGCTTGAAGTTCAACAAATTTGTGGGCGTCATTTTTTAACTATTATTATAAAAAAAAAAAATATATATATATATATATATATATATATATATATATATATATATATATATATATATATATATATATATATATAAAATATACTGTACAGCGAAAACTTATTATTCAGTGGGCCACACATCCGTATGCGATTGTACAATATGGTACAGGATAGACACACAGTGGTTGAAATTGTGAAGATTTGTAACCCCGGGGCTTTATGTTGTCTGGGCTCAACACAAAACATGGTATAATATTATGTCTGTATGGCCAATGGCAGCTTTTTTTTGTTTTGGCCTATTGTACAGGTTGCAAAGCTTACGAGTCAGACAGCAAAAACACACTCATCAGCATTCAGTGCAGGGCTTTTAAATCTGTGTTAGCCTGCCCACTACACTGCCCACAGTAAGGCCAGACTCATGCTGAGGAGAAGGGTCAGGAAGGAAGCCTATGTCCTCTTTGCTGGCAATCAGGGAGGGAAGATCATTTCATGCAAACCAAGATTTAGAAGAGACCGACTTGTGGCATGGATGGTCTAGCATTCAGGGCTGCGTCCTCCGGCACACTTGAGCCGGTGTCAGTGTGGGTTCAAATCCGGCCCACTGCCTTTGTGACACACTATCTATCTTTCCCACTGTCTCTCCTCTATCCGACAAACATGCAAAAAACATATATAGAAAAAAAGACATGAATAACACCATTAGCGGTAGAGGTTGGACCAGACTGGTACAGGTAAAGGGTTTCAATAGGCCCAACTGATAAACCAATAACCACCCACTTCCTGGTTCCCTGCTAACCAGACCGACATGTCCTTAATCATCACTTAGATTTAGAAGTCTAATTTGTTCATATCTTCCTCTTCGGATGTCCAGATGAATTCACCAAGTTTGACGTGATTGATGCGTTGCACACACAGATGTTTAATGCTACAGTGAGACAATGAGTAAGAGAGGAAACGGTCCTGTCACTCTGCACTTACCCCGAGATCTTCACAGTCCACAGGAATTGATAAGGACAGTTGTCATCCGAACGGAACACAGGACAGACATAAAGGACATCTTTCCATTGTATCCCAATTTAGATGATAAAGGCGTAATCATTAATTTCGAATGGATGAAATAGATATGTGTTCATTTTGAATGGCTGGAATCGTACTAGGTGTATTTTAAAGGGTAAGAATCATCATGACACACTAGCATGTCTGTCCATCCTTTCGACTGAAGTAAAACCCTGCAGCAGACAGAGTAACAGAATGCCAGTCCATTCTAGGGCCCATATTCATCAAGAATCTCAGAGTAGGAGAGCTGAATTTAGGATCAGTTTAGCCTTTTAGATCACAATTAATAAGAATAACATGGACAGGGAGGACCTGATCCTAGATCAGCACTCCTACTCTGAGATGCTTGATACATTACATGACCAAAAGTCCCCCCTTTACTGCTATAACAGCCTCCACTCTTCTGGGAAGGCTTTCCACTAGATGTTGGAACATTGCTGCGGGGACCTGCTTCCATTCAGCCACGAGCATTAGTGAGATCGTGCACTGATGTTGTGCGTTTAGGCCTGGTTAGGCATTCCAATTCATCCCAAAGGTGTTCAATAGGGTTGAGGTCAGGGCTCTGTGCAGGCCAGTCAAGGTCTTCCACTCCGATCTCTACAAACAATTTCTGTATGGACCTCGCTTTGCGCATGGGGGCATTGTCATGCTGAAACAGGAAAGCGCCTTCCCCAAACTGTTGCCACACAGTTGGGAGCACAGAATCGTCTAGAATGTCATTTGTATGTTGTAGCGTTAATATTTCCCTTCACTGGAACTAAGAGGCCTAGCCCGAACCATGAAAAACAGCACCAGGCCATTATTCCTCCTACACCAAACTTTAGAGTTTGCACTATTCATTGGGGCAGGTAGCTTTCTCCTGGCATCCGCCGAATTAAGATTCGTCCGTTGGACTGCCAGCATGATTCATCACTCCAGAGAATGCGTTTCCACTGCTCCAGAGTCCAATGGCGGTCCAGTCAGTATACCTGTCAGCAGCTGGCCTGTCTCCTCCCCTTCCTTCCTTCCTTCCTTCCTTCCTCTCCTCTCCTCTCTGTGCCTGTGACAGGAGCGAGTGAAAGCAGTTGAGTCAAGAGAATAACAAAGATGCCTGTTGAACATAAAATACTATAAAAACACCTGCAAATCCGCTCCAAGTGATTTACATTTGGGAAATCTGTTCCAAAGTATTTCCATGCATAACAGAGAGATATACTGTATGTTATCGTATCTGGCAGGGAGCCTATTGGTTAAGAGCCTTGGGCCAGTAACTGATAGGTCGCTGGTTCGAATCCCTGAGCTGACTAGGTGAAAAATCTGTCTATGTGCTTGAGCAAGGCACTTAACCCTAATTGCTACTGTAAGACACTCTGGATAAGAGTGTTTGCTAAATTACATAAATGTATGCAAGGTTAGAAATTATTATGTTTTAGTCAAATATTATATCTGTTTGGGGTTCTTGAGGTCAATTTGCAGTCTACTAATTATTTGCAATTATGTTCCGGCCCCCTGACCATCCACTCACGAAAAATCTAGTTGCAGAATCTAGTTAATGATCTCTGCCCTAGGTAATGTGCTGCCTATGGTAAGTAATGCAACCCATTACAGTATTCCTTTTCCCTATGAGATTTTATTTGTCAGCATGTCTATTCAACAGTTGGATAAAGGAAAGCATGCCATGAACGATATCTTTTTATTTTAACAATGCGGCACATTATAACTAAAATCGCTTTGAAAAAGAGCCTTCTTAGACTTCATCCCTAATGAAAGGCTTAGCCTAGACCTACATAAAACAACAAGATCTTCACATTATTTTGATTATCAAATAGTTTAATTTAAATTAAGAATTGCCAGAATCGAATATAGCCTGCAAAAATAGTCTAACCTTTACCAGCCACACCGGTCAAATGCAAATTATATGGCCAGTGTATGGTGAACGAAAGTCTGAATTGCGAAAGCTTCTGCATGTGGACAAATTAGAATGTTTCACACCAATAACGGACAGTTCCCTGCTCTACACTCTCTCAATGCGTGGCTGGGTCTATCTGCCTCAATGCTCACAGAATCGAAATTGCAACACAATACAACAAGCTGCTGGGTTTGTGAAAATTGTATTAGCATGATTTAAAACATTTCTGAACCGCAGTATAATTGTGCTGAACCGCGGGCCGACCCACAAGTTCAAGGAATGTTTTTCAGGACTCTACACAGAGTGGCCAGTTTTTTTAGGTATACCACCCATTCACGAAAATGGTTTGCTCCTTCAGACCGTGAGTCACGTGGCCGTGGTTTACTATATAAAGCAGGCAGACGGACATCGAGGCATTCAGTTACTGTTCGATTGAACGTTAGAATGGGCAAAACTAGTAACCTAAGTGACTTTGAGCGTGGTATGATCGTCAGTGTCAGGCGCACCAGTTTCAGTATCTCAGAAACGCATGACAGTGTCTAGGGTTTACCGAGAATGGTGCGACAAACAAAAAACATCCAGTCAGCGATAGTCCTGTGGGCGAAAACAGCTCGTTGATGAGAGGTCAAAGGAGAATGGCAAGAATTGTGAAAGCTAACAGGCAGGCCACAAACAGGCAAATACAACAGTGGTGTGCACAATGGCATTTTGGAATGCACAACTCGTCGGTCACGGATGGGCTATCGGAGCAGACAACCATACCGGGTTCCACTCCTATCAGCTAAAAACAAGAAGTAGCTCCAGTGGGCTTGCGATCAGCAACACTGGATAATTGAGGAGTGGAAAAACATCGCCTGGTCCGACGAATCACGGTTCCTGTTGCGTAATGCTGATGGCAGAGAGAGGATTTGGCGTAAGAAGTCCATGGTCCCATCCTGCCTGGTGTTAACGGTAAAGGCTGGTGGCGGTAGTGTAATAGTGTGGGGAATGTTTTCCTGGCACACGTTAGGTCCCTTGATACCAATTGAGCAACGTATCCATGCCCTGAAGAATTCAGGCTGTTCTGGAGGCAAAGGGGGGTCCGACCTTGTACTAGATGGTTGTACCTAATAAACTGAGTGTATATCATACTATAACATAAAAAGCTAGACTGGAATTAGTTTATTTTCCTCAAGTATTGTCTCAAATACTGTATTGATGTACTGTACTATAGGGTGACCTCTGACCCTTATAAAGTGGACTGTAATTGGTGCTTGTCCATCATATGCTGTGGGTGACCGGTCAGCTGTAGCCCATCTGTGTTCCAGGGGATCCCACTCACTCCCAGACAGTGTAGTCTGCCTGGCTGTCACTCACTCAGGGAGATGTGTAGTGAGAGCCTCACCCGCTGCCTATTTTAAGTCAGGAGATTTATTTAAGAGCCCATTACACAAGATTAGCCGTGGAGGTACGGCTATAAATGGAACGAAAGCTGCCTTGCTTTAAGTGCTCTGTCTGGCTAAGTGATGAATAGAACTTAAAGGGACAAGAGTGGCTTCTTTTACAATGGATCCTGTAGAGGCTGATAATTGGGAGAAGGATTCTTAAATGATCTCATTATTTAAAGTAGACAGTGGATATAATTGCTAGTACCTTACAGCCTTTATCAAGCTCATCCAAAACGAGCCCACGGTTGGCGGTGCCCAAACCATTCTGAGAAAGTATTAGATGGATAAAAAGTTGTCTGGAGGACATTCACCCTAACCAGCCAGTTCACTCCCAAAGTCTCCATCTTTTCCTTTTGCTGAGGAGAGGTTCTCCATGCCACTGTCAAAAGATCAGCAGAGAATAAGCAGGAAATCTGGAATCCTTCATCTGGGATTTGTTTAATAAAACCTGGACATTTTGGGAAAGTAACCAGAATTTTGCAACCCTAGTCACATACAGTAGGTATTGGCCTTCGATTCAACATGGATTGTGACGGTCAAAGACTTCAATGAAATTGTTTGAAACTATGAATGAACAAAGGGAGAAAGAATGCCCCCTCTCATTGAAGCCACAGTAGTTCAAGGCCAACCGCAGTACTGCAGGCATTGTTAGCAGAAAACAGGATCCCCCACTATAATGAATGGAAAAATGGCAGTCTTGGTGTAAATAAAAAATAATTCTAAGACAATCATGGTACCAATAATTTTCTTCTAATAAACCAGATGTATGTCCTTGAACCAATTATTTTAAAATCTCACACAGAAGAAATTATATGGATAATATACTATAGTTGCTAATGGCAGCCTGCAGTACCCTGGTCGGCCTTCAACTTGAGTTACTCAAAGGGAGGGGGCAGCACTGAGCTAGCCTGCATTGTCACTTCCTGGAGTAGCTCAAACTGCGCATGTTACATAGCAGGTTAGGAGAATTAGGTTGTTATGA